CGCGCTGATGTCATCTATAAAAATTACTTGCTGTGGCCTTATCATTCACAGCATAAACTCTCACAGCTGTAAAACTCTGCCTAAAGTTTATAAAGTATGCCTACAGGGACACCATCCATCTATCTATGTTACCCACTTCATTATAATAATGTGCCTTATTCTTATTACTTACCTGTTGTTATTAGCAAATCATTCATTGCTGGAGACAATCAAGACAAAGTAGGTTTAGCCGGAAGTGCAAAATGGCGTCATGTATCATAGCGTGCAGGTCGCGAGCTGCGTCCTGGTAATAACGTGTTTAGTATTCACGTCCCGTAGCGCGTGCCGGCACTCGGGAGAATGAAATGGTATTGTGACGCTGATCAATACACGGGGAGCCGGGCTTATGGCAGACTGCCATGAGGGTCTGCATGCCCCTTTTCGTAAGGCGTAATCAGGCCTTTTTAGTCTTCGTAATCCGTGGGCAGTCACCCAAAATCAACGTAATTCGTAATCAGTACACGTAATTGGCCGTTTTCATTCTACGTAAAGCGTAGGCAGTTACCTTTATGCAACGTAAAACGTAATCCATAAAGTACTCCAGTAATTTGTAATAAGCTCTGAGAATTTAATGTGATTCGTAAACGGCGGTGAATATTTTGTGTGATTCGTAATCACTAACCCCCCCATGCAGGCCCTCTGCCATTAGATAAGGGCCTAGGGTGTTGTAAGAAGAGGTGTGTTGTATGTACATGTATATGTGAACAGTCATCGAAGTAGCCATGCTCCACTCTACAGCTACCTACCAATTGTGGTCCCCAGGTACAAAACTTACTTGTTTCCCACATGAGTCTCTTTTTGGCTGTCTTTTGTGGTTTAGTTGAAGGATGAGACTTCTCTTGAGTTTAAATAGAAGCGGTAGTAACCTCCCAAGTATCTGTGTCCTTGAGAAATGGCATGTATCCAGCGAGGGACTGCTTTTTTAAGTCCCTAAATGGCCGAATCCTTTCTTTTATTGTGCTAACTTTATCAGCTATGCCAGTAATGGCTGTGTCAGGTCTTGTGAGATACAGTAGCCCTTTATAACGTTGTCTTTAAGAATACGTGGGGCATAAAGGGGAGACGTTTAGGCGACTGGTGGTATCTGTCATGTCATGTGCAGTAGGTAAATGGTACAATATCTCACTAGGATTCCAGGGAACTCTTTGGCTTTCAGTACTTCTTCATATGTTCAGCCATACATGTGTTTTGCCAGAACATATAGTGAAGAAGGCTTGGTAGTTGTAAAGTTTATTTCCAAAAATAATTTCATCAGGTTAGTAAAGTATAGGATATACAGTGCGAATATTTGGTTGCATAGAAGAAAACCCTTATGTCCTGTTAATTTTATTGCAAATACATGCCATGTATGAACATGTATGCAAAAAGAAAATACAGTGTTATAAGAGACTATATGTCCAACGTTATTCTACAATCTACAAATAACAATGTACATGGTACTAGTTTTGCTGGGTTTAACTTCTTCTTTTAAGGCAGTGGATGACGATTTACCAACTTCTATGATATGTGGGTTCTTTCAATTTGTGGTAAGGTAGAGTGGAAAAGTAAGTGTGTATTTTAGACATGATCATGGTTAATAGCTGGTTTCTGATATCATAATAAAATAAACAGTTAGAGATGAAATGATTTCTGTCTTCCACTGCATTTGGATAAACACACAGTCCTATATTTATCAAAAGTTCTACTTTGGATTTATTGTTTATCAACCCAAATTCTCCAATGGAGACAGATCAAATTCATGCTTCAAGAACTTAAATTTGATGAAGTTCTACCAACTTTTTTTTGAATCTTGAAAACGAGGAGTATGACATTGTTCTTCAGACAATGATGGATAACAACATCCTCTTTTACACCCACAATACTAGGAAGTGTCAGAATGAATTATGTAAACTATCTATTGACACCCACAAACCAAGCAGGGACTTTACAAGGCTTATGTTGTCGTATTGATTTTTTTTGTGAAAGCAATTAACCCGAGAAGTTGTACTAGTACTTATCCCTACTGGCGAAATGTCTCAGAGGGACAGATGAAAGGTATCCATGCTGGGTCAGTTTTGCAAGCAAAAAAGAAGGTCATCAGATAACACACACATGGGGTGATAACTGCATAGGAAACAGCCATGATAAGCATCGTAAGGCCAGTTACTGTTAAAGTAATTGCCCTCTGTCGCTGAAGATTTCGTAGTGGTTTGTAAGCCAGAATAACAAAGGAATAACATTTTCTGTGAACTGTATTGAAGCACTGTAACTGTTAACAGAAGCCATTCCAACAGTGTCGACTTGGACACATGTTTGTGGAAATGATTTGGGAATGACTAGGTCTGAAACCAGCACTACAAATGTACCTGGTATAGCCCTAGGCCCGGATTAACATTTGGGCAAGAGCCCGATGCCAGTGATGGTACAAAAACTGCAAACTTTCAGATCTTATGCCAACCCTCGAGGTTACATATGATCTGAACATAATTTCTTGATATACGTCAAAGTAAACTGACTACCAACACAGATGAGCTTTCAGTCAAAGTGAGCATGTTTACACAAAAGAAAATTTCAACTTGCGCAGTTTACGTAGTTTTACCATTGTCAGCTTTCTATCCACCTGTGAATTGGGTCTGATGGCTAACTTAGAATAAGAACGAATTATCCTTGGTGAATGTAGTGAGATAATCCCTGGTCAGGTGCGCTACGCTCACTCGGTGGTTTATTTGGTGGTTATTGCAACTGACCAGGGATTATCTCTCCATATACACCTCTGGGTGGGGCATTAACCCAGTTTTCCCATTGTCAGCTTAGGCTGCATAGAGCCACTACAGCAGCAGTCTAGTTCACTGTTAGTTATTGATGATAACCCAAGTATATCTTGTCATTGACAGACATCCGTCAGCAGCTGACTGACCAGCTGAAATGCCTGGACTCTCGGATGGAGGCTCAGGCCGCCCTGATGGCTGACCTGCAGGACTTCTTCAGGAGGAAGGCGGAGATCGAGCTGGAGTACTCCAAGAGTCTGGAGAAACTGGCCGACAGGTTCCTCACCAAGGTCAAACAGCAACAGAAGTTAGACGCTAGGTAAGAAACTAGTCCTTTGTTTGCGTGAACATTAATCTCAGTTGCTAAGGCCACACCAATTTAATTTCTTGGTTAACGGATTTTTCTAGAAAAATAATGGAGCGGGCGGGCGAAAAAAAAACAGGCCTAGGCATCCTATTATGGCCCAAAATGGTACGATAGGAGCCATGAAGTCAACACACCAGGCTGGTTAAAAATTTAAGCAATGAATTTTGAACTTTTAATGATACCACTGCATTGAAAGATGGAATAACTGTAACAACTAGGATGAAAAGGACTGTTTTCAACTGTCCAGTATAAAATGAGCATTTTGCAGTTGATTCTGAATTGTTATTTTTATTTGCAAATCAGAAAAAAATGAAGCAGGCGAATCCGTTAACCAAGAAATTAAATTGGTGTGGCCTAAGGCCTAGGAAAAAAATGTTTCAATGTTGTTTCCTGTTTCAATCCTGAAAAATTTGGGTCCGTAGGTAGGGATTATCTTGGGTATTCTTTTCACTGTCAAACTTTCAACTACATATTCAAACTGCCAAAGTCCTAATTAAATTTCTGAATCAATAATAGAGGCCAACAAATGAAAAGTTCCTCATAGAATGAATACACTGTGTACTGTGATTCCTGATTTTTTTTCAAGTTACTTTAATTGTCACAGTTTTCAAAGTCACTTCTTTACTGGGAAGGTATACTATAATTGCCGTTAACAAAGAATTTCTCTTGCCCGTCCAATTCTCCCTGTTACCGTGAACATATAGTTCCGTGAACACCTTCATTTTTCTACAACTGTGAAATTTGCTACTGTTAACATGCAAAAGCGAATTCTGTATCGGCATAGCCGGTATAACCGCCCTTTGGTGTAACGCACCAGCTTCACAGGCACACGGCATGGCGGCAGCTACCTATATCACACCGAACGACTTCATACACTCAATCTTTGCACATTTAATTCCAGAAGTTGTTTAAAGCTTTCTAGTGATGATGCCCCAACTGTGCTTGGTAGCACTGTACGATCTAGTATGATACAGTAATTACAGTATACACATGTGCCGTTTTTTCCCTCCTTGTTGCACCTGCAGTAAGACAGGTGAGAAGAAGGATGGACACATCCTGTCTCCCTACAACTGTTGGTACCAGCTGCTGGGGGTGACACGTAGGGAGAGCCGTAACCACTCCACCCTGAGCGACATCTACAGTAACAACCTCACCAGCAGGTTCACACAGATCAGCGAGGATGTCGGCAGAATATTCAGGAAGGTAAGGGTTTGAATAATATCATGATCAAGTAGTGCTGTGTACCTAAACCCACATTTAGGTTCAGGTCCAGATTCAACTTCAAGTCCAGAGGTTTAGGTTCAGTTCTGGACTCGTAAGTCCGGACCTAAACTCATGGCATATACAAAATTGCATGTTGGCAACCTTTCAATGTTGTTTCGGCAAAACTGTTGCCACATAACATGGAGGCTGACACTTGACGATGCCCAATGGCAAAGTTTTCTTCATTTTGTAGCACAGATTTTGCACTCTATGGAAGGTTTTAGTTGGTTTAGAAAGAAAAGGGATATGTGGCATGTTTTTTTGTAATAAGTCCGGAATTTTTTTTTGGCATGAACCTAAACATTTTTACAAGTCCGGAACCGGTACACAGCACTATGATAAGGTCAAACTTGCCCTAGTGACCACCCCTGTAACGTCACTACTAAGCCAGCCCTTTGGTCATAACAACTTCTTCTTGGTCCTGATTTTTTCCCATAGATGTAAGCCGACCACTTGCCCAATGCGCCTGGCACTTTTTGGGACCATACATGGCTCAATCTCTGGCGTGTGTTGGCAAAACTTTTTTTAATGATTATCAGCGAGAAATCGACCAGTTTGCCATTGATCTTGACAGCGTGACAGTTTCTTTGAGAGGGAAATCATGGAGTTAAGAGTGGCTGTCGGCAATCCTTCAGAATGATGTTTTTATATTCTTACACACGATTCTTGTCAATTGAATCAAGGTCAACGGAATGGTTTTAAAATTTTTTTCATCATGGGCCACAAAGTACTGGCAATTGACTGAAAAACAGACGCTGGCTTGAGCCCTGGTCTTAGTTTTATTCTTTCATCATGTCAGACTCAAAAGTCCTTGTGCTAGGGTATTATGTGATGTGGTTTGTGGTCATTTTGGAGCTTTGGTAATCGAAGCTGATGGCACCACTTCCCTAATCCCCTCACCACAGGTTTAGTGTGTCCAGGGTAATGCTTCGGTCATAAACTCTGAGTAAAGACAGCAGAGCTGCAACCATCCCACTTTCCAACAGTCATAAAGGGTTTAGGCCACAGCAAGTAAATTTTATGGATGGCATCAGGGCGCGCATTAATTTTTGCCTGATTTGGAAAAAAAAACCAAGAAATTTTGTTGCCTTCTGACAGTGGCCAACATGCCGAAAATGTGCAAAGATGTCTGTTGCCATGCCGGAAGGTGGATGGCAGATAACTATGAAGAGAGGAGACAAGAAAAGGCTATGATTTAATGTTTTGTTTCTTACTTTGATGCAGTGATGTGATGCTGGCTGTGTATACGTGATGTTCCCACTGAATAAAAACCATTTGTACAATGATTGAGTAAAAATTTTAAAATGTAGGAACCTTGTTTTTTTTGGCCCGCCTTGTTTTTTTTTTGGCCCGCTCGCATTAGATTTGGAGTCTGCGGAGGATGTCATCCTTAAAATTTACTAGCTGTGGCCTGATGATGAAACCCTGAGTAAAGACAGCAGAGCCGCAACCACCCCACTATGCAACAGTCATAAAGGCTTTAGGATCTAGGAGGAGTGATTGATAACAGTGTAGGGGTGCTTATGCTGGAATTAGCTCTCTGTCAGGGAAAGGTACTGACCTTGTACAGAGGGCACACAAAGGTGACACAGGTCACATGCAGGGGTACAGGGAGAGAACTATCTTGTGTGAACAGCTGTCCTGAAATGGAAGAGGCTGAAAGATGTCTGTGAGGGCTGCTCAAGGTGTTGAATTGGCTTCAGTTTCCTGTGAAGAAATTAGAACAGAAAGGTCATAGTATTGCTTTCAGTACCTTTCCTTTTGTTCAGTCTAAGGCTGACTTTAGACTAACGACAATTGAATAATCGTGCAAATGTTTATCGTCAAGATGTTGCCGGCGATGGTATTCTAACACCGTCTAAAGACGATCAAAATAGTCGCACGACGGTAATCCTCGAATCATTGTCACTACCACCTCGAACCCTATCGTGCGATCCTTCAGTGGGGGGTCCGAGACGAATTTTCCTCCGTCTAAATTGAATCGTCGCCAGCGAAGGAAGTAGGATGTTATGGATCATATGCAAATAAGCCTGCAAGCGCTATTTTCTGTCCAAGAAGATTCTCTCGCCATTTTGAAGTCACGCAGCATGCTTCCTGCCCATGTGTCTATAGAAAGCCATTGCTTACTCACACACACACATACGCTCACAAAGATTATGGTGCGACTGTACACCGTCGTCAGTCTTAAGTCGGCCCAAGTTGAAATGCGTCTATATCATTTGTATGCACGGAGAACAAGAGCCTGTTACACATTCACGACTTTCCCCCGAATTTGTTCCCAAACACCAGTTGACCAGGTTCGGCTGATGCTTGGAAGCACTCTGACCAGATTCAGGCCACGCCTTCCTTTTTATACGAATCGAAACGAATTTGAGTTAAATCTGAGTCAAGTTTGACCCCCGAACACTGCAGACTGACTTACGAATTGTTGGATAGTGCTCTGCTGACTCACAGCCTAATACTTGTACCAACCAACTATAGTGTAACCTCCTAACCAGTGGCCCGAATGTTCTAAACATATTGAAAGATACACTGGGTACCAGTCTCCAGTTTAAGGCCCGATTTACACGTGCGTCGTTTATATGTGTTGGGCGTAAAACGACACAGGAAAACCGCGTGTAAACAACCTGCGCCACAGACGCGCGGCAGTTTTCCTGTGTCGTTTTACGACAACACATATAAACGACGCAAGTGTAAATCGGGCCTAAGCCACTGTGACACATTCATGACCTTCCTCCCACTCTGACCAGTTTTAGGTCACTGAATCAAAATTGGTCACAGTTCACTGAATTTGAGTTAAATTTCAGTCAAATTCGGCCCCCTAACATGCCAAGAACACTGTTGACTGACTCCCGAATAGTTGACTGGTGTTCTGCTAGCTTGTAGCCAAATACCAACCAACTGTGATCAAACCTTCCCCCCAAAAGTTTTAAACATTTTAAAACTTTCGACTGACGCATAGTAGGGGGCCTGCATGGGGGGGTCCCGACAACACTCTACATGAATTCCGAAACCTCTCGATTACGCTTTCCGATAAATTCCAAGTGGCTACAAGTACAACGCATTACGTAGAATTAAAACGGCGAATATCCTCTACGCAAAATGCGCCAATTACGCTCTACGTTGAATTAGAGTGGTCCGTTAACGCTATACGTGGTATTAAAATGGCTGATTACGCTCTACGGAAAAGGGCATGCAGGCCCCCATAGCAGCTAAATTCGCCGAACACCTACATGTACTGAGTCCTAATCATTGCTGGGGGATGTTCAGCTAGTGTTCAGGACGCCATATTCGTGAATGTCTGACAGGGGCTTTAGAATTAGACAGAGTGAATTTGTATTCTACTCCTAACTTGTCCTAATCATGACCTTACTACACGTGAGAGGAGGTATAACCACAGTGAAGCACACTCATCAACCCAGGTTAACCCCACCAGCCATGAAATGGGCCCATTCTGCCGGCCAAGTCAAAATTGTGCAGTTGCAAAAGCTGTTGTGACCTTTCAATTGAAAGCCCATAAAGAGAGGTCAGACGTGCCGGGCCTCTGTGATGTGATAGAATTGATAGGGAATTTGCAACAATTGTAGGAGCTAAGAGGGTCGCATCCACTTAGGTACATGTAACTACATGTGGTTATTGTGTTCCATATGTGGAAAAAAAGAGATTGAAAAGGGCTTAATGTGCCAATTTGTCATTCTAAATCTGTTGATTAGCACCCATAGTTGTAACATTGCCATTGCAATTTCTATCTGAGGCCACACCAATTTAATTTCTTGGTTAACAGATTTTTCTAGAAAAATAATGGAGTGGGTGGGTGAAAAAAAAACAGGCCTAGGCATCCTATTATGGCTCAAAATGGTACGATAAGAGCCATGAAGTCAACACACCAGGCTAGTTCAAAATTTAAACAATGAATTTTTTACTTTTAATGGAAGTACTTCATTGAAAGATGGAATAACTGTAACAACTAGGAAGAAAAGGACTGTTTTCAACTGTTCAGGGCAAAATATGAGCATTTTGCAGTTGATTCTGATTTTTTATTTTTTATTTTTGCAAATCAGAAAAAAATGAAGAGGGTGAATCCGTTAACCAAGAAATCAAATTGGTGTGGCCTAATAGTAATGTAAAAGAATCTATCTTTGCATACCTAGCCACTTGGTCTAAAAGCCAATGCCTGCATTTATTTGTACCACAATCATGGAAATGCATGGCCCCATTGGCAGAAATATACAAAAGTATACATGTACATGTATACTTAACTCTGATCCGATTGCCAGATAAAAGTGATTACTAATGTATAAGCTTCCATCTGCTCAATTTTTAGAGGATACATGTAAGGCCACAGCAAGGACATTATACACACAAGGACTGGGGTCACTATTCAGCAACGTTCGACTCATGTGTGAAAAAACAATTGACACCTATATGCCGATTACCCCTTGATTTACATAAATACAAAGCGCCCACAAGCGGCCCCCGCTATTGTTAGAAAATTTACGATGCCGCGACCGGGCGACAGGCACATTGTTTGGAGCAAGTTTGGAGTGATTTTGAGGATTGAAATAATATTTAGTATGATTTTGAAGAATTGGAGGGGGATATATCCACACACGTAGTACTACACTTGAATCAGGGACCTTTGCTTGAATGTAAAGTTACACACTAGCGCGAGCGGGTGTTCCATATTTCTGTGTTTTAAACTGAAGCCCCAAGAAACAAACACAACGTGCCAAGCTTCTGTTTTTTTGCCAAAAAATACAAGCAGACACGGACTAGATAAGATCGGGAACCCACATGTATATGAAGCATGAATGTCTGGACATGTCCCTGGTGCACGTTTCTGGTACATAAATGGCGATCTTCCGCTTGGCTTCGGAAAATGCAACCCCTAAAGTACGGATCCGATCTTCTCCCATGACTTTCTAAGTCCGCCGTACAAA